AACTACTTGCTAAAATAGCCAACAGAGGGAAAAGGAGGACGGGCCAGGTGAGCAATTCGGACACAGAAAGACAGGAAGGCAGGTGTCGGTGGGGGACTAATGGTAAGGCCCGTGGGGAGCCGGTCCAGGCATGTTAGGTACATTGTTCATCCTCAGGACAACTCTATCAGATGGATGCCTTATTGTTTCCATTTCATCGATGAGGAACTCGAAGGAGAGAAAGGTTAAAAGGCTTTCCCATGGTTGTGTAGCTACTGAGGGAAGAAACGGGATTGGAACTCAGGAATTGGACCAGAGAGCCTATGCTCTGGCCACAGCAAGTTCAGCACCTCAGTATGTCTTCAAGGTGCTAGGAGAGGTGGGGGACTAGATCCTCAAGAAGCACTGTGTTCGACAGGACAATATTCTATGACATAGGAATATTTCTTTCCTTCTTTCCCAACATACTTATTCAACACCCAGAGTATCCCAGCTCTGGGAACTCATGGGAATTCTGTGCTGAGTGAGATGCATACGGATCCTGCCTTCATAGGGAACAGGCAGGTAGAGCCACGTCCCATCTCAGGGAGAAAAATCCTGACTGGTTGTATAGGTGGCCTCTGGGTTGCCAAGAAGTGACATGTAAGCCAGACCAGGAGGGTGTCAGGAAGGGCTTCCCAGAGAGAGTGAGGACTAACTGAGGCCTGAAAGATAAGTTGGAGTGAATCTAAAACAGAGCAAGAAAAGAATGCTCCAGGCAGAGGGAACAGCATATGCACAGACCAAGAGGAGGCAGTGTGTCTGAGCAGCTGTGGACTCAGGGTGGCTGGCATGATGCAAGGATGCAGAAAAGGCAACCTGCCCTAGACCCCTAAAGTCCCCAGCCTTGTCCCTAGCACAGTCTCTTCTCCTTCCCAATTTCATCCTCATTTTTGCCAATAGTAAGAGTTAACATTTACTGCATGCTCGTGATATACACCAGGCACTATGGTAAATTCTCCACAAGATTATCTCATTGAATCCTTTCAACAACCCTGAGAGGTGAGTCCTATCGTCATTTTCATTTGTAGAAGAGAAAAGCAAAGCAGAGAGAATTAAGTAATTTTCCCCAAAGCCATACAGCCAGTAAATAAAGCCACAGGCTCCCCACCTCCCACCCTAACAGGTACACACTCCCACATTTCTGTGGCTCTATGCACCTGTTTGAGGCGCTCCTATTCCCCTGCTGGTTTCCTCTGCACCTGCTCAGCTCTTCCCAGCCTCCCCTGGTCTGTCTAACACTCTGGGCCCTGCTGTGAGCTGCCAGGTTGGCAGGACTTGGCCCCTCCTGGCTGCTTGATCCCCCCTTCCTCACCTTGTTCGAGGCAGGGTTCAGGAAAGAGGTGGTTTCATATAGAGAGCCAGTAGGCTTGTTGTGCTTTTTCCTAGTGGGTTTCCTACATCTTTGAATTAATGGGACAGAGATAAAGAAGGCATTTCAGCTGCCACCCAAAACAGCTGTCAAGCCAGGCCAAGGCCCTGCAGAGAAAGAGCCCCTCCCCGACGGCAGTACCAGTATCCAAGGGAACTGCGTTCAAGGCTCCCAGGCCTCATTTCCAGTCTGGCCAGCAGGACTGGGACTCCAATCCATTTGAGAGCAAAACCAAGCAGTAACAAGAGCCCCTTTCCAGCTCTGTGCAGAGCTATTAGCTAGCAGAGACTAAATGCACTTCAGGAGCAGGGAGGAAGAGGAAGGCCGGGAGTCATTTGTTGGCTTTGCAGGAAAAGCTTGCGTGTGTGTGGTGTGTGTGCTTTTGTGAGCCTGCATGTCTGGGGGTGGCTGTGTCTGAGACTGAAGGTTTAGAAACAGGGACTCCGCCCGCGGCCCCCTGCTTGAGTCCAAAGCCCAGCTCTGTCACTGACTAGCTGTGTGGCCTTAGGCAAGTTTCTTAACTTTTCAGAGCTTCAGTTCAGAGTAATGCCTGCCATGCATCCAGTGCTTTAGGAGAGGTGACTATTATTACTATTTGGAGTCTTGATGGGCTTATGGGCCTGTGTGAGTCTGGGTGCTGTGTCTGCTGTACGGAGCTGTGAGATTCTTGTAGGCAACTCAGGTGATGGAATTTGTAATGTGGGCCAGGGGCAGCCAGCACTGTGGATGTAAGGCAGTGAGCCTCAGTGGCAGATACTTTGACACCAGTCTAGGCCCTGAGACTCTAAGGAGGACCTGGCTAGTTCTAGAATAAAGACATAGGGAGCTCCTCAAAAATTAATGTCAGACTCAGACGATGGTGACACCTGGTCTATCTGCAGGGACCCGCTCTTAAGATGAGTAAAGTGAGGTCTTGGTGGCCACTGGCTCCTTCTTTGCTGCTATCTGAGGCATGGTGCAAGACAAGCTATTGGGCAGAGCACCCACAGGAATACTTTGTTTTTTCCGCAGCAGGATTCCTGGAGGTCCCACCTTGAAGCTGAAGCAGAGCAAAGGTGAAAACAAGAATCTTCGGATTCCCTGGTCAGACACTGAAGGGCGCATGTGCATGCACCTCAGCACCAACTGGCAAAGGTGGCTGATCTCAGGGTCTGGCACACAGAAGGCACTCGACTAATGCTATTTTATTTTCTTTGCCTCTGTCACTGAGGACCTGTCTGTCTTCTCAGCCATGCTTCAGTTCCTCCATCCATCCTTCCCTTCATCTCATAGTTATGAGTGTGCACCTACTGCTCACCAGGCTCTGGTCTAGGTACTAAGCACTGGTGCTACAGTCTCCACTGTCTAGAAGCTCCTAGGCTAGTTGGGGAGTTGGGCATTTATCAGGAAACCTGCAAGTCTATGCAAAAGAATGGACAGGAATTGCAGTTTTTGTTGAGGATGAAGACCTGAGAAAAGATGAAGTAGAACCTCACCTAAGCCCCCTGATAAAGTGATACTGGAACTGAGATCTAAGCAGATGGTGGGGGGTGCCCAGGAGGAGATGGAAAATGAAAAGGGTGGGTGGTGGGAGGAATGAGGCCCTCTGGCGTCTCCTTGGCACACTATTTGGACAGAGGAGGAAATAGGGGGCTGGGATCCTGTGGATGGAGCTGGGGCCCATGTGAGCGATCAGGCAGTAACATGTGTGAACATTCATAGGCTATCCTGCTCCCTAGATCTTTGCAGCCTTAACCCCAGTTGTTTGCAGTTCAGCACCCCAGTTATTTGCATTCACTGCCCATTTATTCACAGGCTTTATCCTCCGGAAGGTGCAATCACCACCCCAGCTTGGTGCAGTCACCAATCCAGCTGCTCACATACCTTCCCAGCTGTTGTCAGCCACTCCTCCCAGCTCTTGATAATCCTGCCCCAGTTGTCTGCAGTCACCTCTTCAAGTATTTGCAACTTCCACCTCCCTTTAGGCATCAGGCAAGGCTTGCTCAAGACTCGTTCTAACAATAACAAGAATTACTCTTTGTTCATCATTGCCGGCCTGTTTATGCTATGGTGCTTTCATGTGCACTGTCTCATTTGACCCTCCCAAAAACCATTTCATTACTTTAAAAATTTCTGGCTTGTTCAATATCAGGCACTAGGTGTGAGGATACAGTAAAGACCAGAGCTAGACACAGCCCTGCTCTCCTGGAGCTTTCTGTCTCGTGTAGGAGACAGGCATTCATAAAGGGATGGCACCGCTGTACAAGCAGATAGTGAGACAGGTCTGTGAAAAAAGCAAAGGCACCACAGGAAGGGGACACCAGGGGCCAGGAATCTAGAGCTGAGCACCGCTGGACTGGGCTTTGGTGGAGTTGGGAAAGATAAAAAGGACATCTGGGCAGAGGGCATCCCACAGGCAGATGCTTTGAAGGAAGGGCTGAGACAGCCAGGTGGCAGGGCCTGGGGAGCACAGGAACCAGTGCAGACCAATCAGAGTGACCTGGTCAGCTTGGCTGCAAATCTATCAATTTCTCTGAAAAATGGACTGTCCAGGACAAGAGTGAAAGCAGTGAAGGCAATTAACACAGCCAAGTAGGTGAGAGATGATGGAACCTCGGGTGAAGAGGCAGCAGGAGGCAGTGGAGAGGGTGGCCTGATGTGAGGGTTATTTAGGAGGCAAACTGGACTGGACGATGGAAAGGGTAGAGCCTAGATGACTTCCAGGTTGCAGAATCAGGCAGAGGTTCCATCCTCTGAGCTGGGAACACTCAAAAGATCAAGGCCAGAAGGGGACACCGGGCTGTAGAAGGACCAGGGCCACAGGAGGCCGCAAGACTGTAGGAGGTGTGAGCGGGAGTTGGGTGACATTAAGCAAGAGGTTTTTGCCACCAGGTTGCACAGTGGCACGATGCCCAGACTCTGGGCTTTGACTCTGCATCCAAGTCCTGGCCCTTCACCTTCTAGCTGTCCTTGAGCAAGGCACTGAACCCTGATGTGCCTCAGTTTCCTTGATGGCAAATATTTGGATGAGAAAGAGGTTGTCCTGAAGCTTCTGGGTCATGAGTACTTTAAGTGAGTTGACTTCATCTGATGCAGACTCCAGCTCAGCACCGAGCCCCACCTGGCAGGAACTTCATTCTTACTGAATAACTGAATGAATGATGGACTGAGGAGGTGGCTTGTGGGATGGGTGGTAGGAGACCAGATGGAGGAAAGGGAACCTCACCACTCTGGTGGTGAGAGCAGCAGGTCCCCAGACAAAGGGACCCATGGGGAGTGTCACCCTCCAGGCCCTGGGCTTAATGTGGATTTGTAGGCCCATCAGGCATAAAGAGGGACTGGCAAAGACTAAGCTTGGGACAGGCAGGGCCTGGGTGACCAAGGTCCCATGAGTCCTATGAGGTGTTTGGACCAGATCTTGAGAGTCCCAGGGAGCAGAGGGGTCTTAGATTAAGGAATGCAGGGCCCAGGCACCCCCAAAAGGGTGAATTAAGGAGCAGAGAGGCTGGAGGAAGGAAAGTTCTTTAGAAGGTTCCGGCAACACTCAGGTGGATTTTATTATTAATAATTATTATTTATTACTATTTATTATTCTTTTATTATTTTTCTTTTTTCATTCAACAAGTATTTCTGAGCACTCTGCAGGTGCCAAGAAGTTCAAGGTCTTGACCTCCAGGACGTGGCCAACCCAGCTGGTCTGACCACCTGGCTCTCTGCTTCCTGCTCCCTTCCCGGGACACCTCTGTATTTGGAGACACTTTCTCTGTGGAAGGTTGCAGGGCAAGAAGGGGAAGAAAGAATGGACATCAGCTTCTTGGGGACTGGTTATGCTGAAAGCAATTGATTTCAGAGTCTGCAGGTCTATTTGCAGATCTGGTCTGTGGCCACAGAGTCCCTGGCATGCCTGCAGGGGAAGGAATATCACCATGGTCAAGACCAAAGTGAGAAGGTGCAAAGTTATGGGTCACAAATATCCCCCTCCCCAGGATGTCCCCATCCCACTTACCCTGGGTCAGTGACCTTAGGTGAGAGGGTCACCGGAAAGGAGGGAAAAAGGCTTTAGGAGAAGCTGGTCTCTGTGCATTTGTTCCTGTTAGCAGCAAGCGAACATTAACACATCTGAGGGCAGATGGAGGAATGCGGCCATAATCAGGATGCTATGAAAACTGCATGGTATGGCCTTTCCTTGTGCCTGAGTCAGAACCATGAGCAAGGGCCCAGAAATCTGCATTTGCACAGCTCCCCTAACCTTCATGCCAGGATCCTGATTCAATGAAGGTAGGGCTTCTCTGAGAGTATGGAGATAACTGTGGCTCTGGCAAAGTACAGGTTCTCATGCTTTGGTGGAGGATGGGGCCCAAGCTCTGCATTTCTAACCAGCTCCCAGGCAGTGCCCGGGCTCTGAGTCCTTGGTGTATACTGGGCCCATTCTTCCAAAAGAACTTTAAGGACACAAATCTCTCTCAAAATAAATCTTGCACAGAACCCAAATGTATAAACAGATGACATTAATATAAAAGTATTATGCACATAGAAATATGTAATGTTTGCTTATTACAAAAAACCTGTTGGTGGAAGCAAGGCAGCTGTGATGAAGGCAGAGTCTGATGAAAAATGTTTCTATTGCTCCCATACATAGGCCTCAGAATCCACGGTATTTAAACCAAAGCCGTGCAGCAGCCCAAGGCCCCAGTGCCAAGGCCCTGGAGGGCTCCATTCAGAAGGGCCCAGGCCCCCTTCCTCCTGCTGGGGACACTCACGGCTCAGGGTTCAGCCTTTCCTCCCCACCCAGTGGCTGCTGCCTGGGAAGTATCCACTGTTAAATATAGCCAGGAACCAGGCTTTTCGGGGCCCTGAGACTGAGAGAGAAGCTGTGAGGGACAACTGCTTGCACGTATGGGAGTCCACAATGCCAGGTGTGCTAATTACTGGCCTGGCAGTGGGGAAGACAGGAACTAAGGGAGGGCAGGGTCTGAGAGGTTGCTCAGGGTCCTCTGGAGGAAGGCAGAGTTTGGCAGGGAGATGGGAGTAGCCTATATTGGGATGACACAAGGGCTGGCAGAAGGGGACATGTGGGAAGGATCAGGCCAGTGGAGCCAGAGGACTTGAGTGCAAATTCTGGTAGTATCACTTGCTTACTGTGTGGCTCTAGGTAAGTTGTTTGTCCTCTCTGGGTTTCAAACAAAAAAGGGAAACTATATGTTGGGAGAATTGAGCGGGGTAATATATAGGAAAGCTCCTGTAGATCCTGCACCTTTTTGCCCCGTAGCTGGAGATCAAGGTCTTCAGAGCACTGCCTCGCTTTGTCCTGCTGGTAGCAATCTTTTAAGCTTCTGGTTCTGGAGCCTCCCTGATACCCAGTTCCCAGAAGGACAACAGACTCAACCAGCTAGCGGGACGCCAGTGCAGCAATCTATACTCTGGGGAAAGACCAGGCCACAGCTACCCCTCTCATCTGAGCTGTGGGCCTGGCCCGACCTTTGATCATCACTTATCACCCTGGGCGGAGATGCTAATGGTCCCACTGCCCCACCACCCGCACCTCTCAAGGACAGGGGTGGCACCTCATTCACCTCGGCACTGCCCAAATCCAGCCCAAGGCTTGGCACAGAGCTGGCACCAGCTGGTCTTTCCCTCTTTATCGCCTTCTGCCCAGTATTCCCATAGTCCTGGAGCCCTTCTGTCAGCCATGAGGCTCAGAACCTCCTCCCTCTGCTCTGCCAAACCATGTTCTGCCTCATTGCCCAACTACTTCCCTCTGCAGTGCCCCCTACCACTTCCATGGGGAGGCATTGGTGAAGGATGGAAAACTGACATGTAACATCCTTGGTACAGCATGGGGTCCTTCCATCATCCCTGTGAGGGATGTACCAATGTTATAACATTCTTACAGCTGAGGAAACTGAGGCTCAGAAACACAGAGTGATTTGATAGAGCTAGCTTCCTGCCCAGGCCTGCATTCTCCCAGCCCTCCCTGGGACTGGCTGCTGCCTTTGTGCCTCCCTGCTGGGCCATGACTCAGCTTGCTTCTTTGCCCGGGCTCCTGTCAGAACTTCTGGCCTCTCTCTGTATTCTGTTTGCAAATAGCCTTACATATTTCCAAGTCTGCTCTCCTGGCTTCAGCCCCAACTGCCACACTGTCCTGGCCAGGGCTTTGACTGGCTGTCATCTCTAAATGGGGAATCTGGAGTGTAACACAGGGCACTGTGCATGGTAAAGAGATTTCCATCAGCACCAGTGCCAAGTGTCTTTCTTCTTCTGTCCTAGGACCACGGAGGGGGACACTAAACACCTGAAGACTTTGAAATGGCACAGTGGGTGCAAGAGGAACATCGTGCCACAAAATGCCATCAGATTGTCCCAGGCAGTGTATGTGTGTGGTGCATCACAAATAAGGGTGCTCAGAGGAGGAGGCTCCTGGGGGTGGGACTTCAAGGAAGGCTTCCTGGGAGAGGTGGAAGGGTCTAGATGTTGAAGGACATGGCCCTCTGGAGCAGCTAAGAAAGGGAGCATCTTGCACACGTGTGCATAGGCCTGAAGGCTGATCAGCTGATCTGGCCGAGACTGGAAGCGAGGAGAGGCTGTAGTGGCTGATGCACAGCTGTAACGCAGGCTCAGCCAAGTGTCAGATCGCCTCTGCCCAGGGGTGGTTCAGTCAAGAAGCCACACGGTGTAACACTATGATAAATGGCACAAGTATGAAGTAATTTAACCCTCATAATATTGCCAAAAGGTATATTTATTATCATTACTCTTTTGTACTCAAAAAGGAGAGGCATAGATAGGTGAAGTGGCTTGCCATGGTCACCTTGGTAGGAAGTAGAGGTGCTGAGATTTGAACCCAGGGAGCTGGGCATCAGAACCCAGTGTCTTAACCAGTATACTCTACATTTGACAATATCCCTGGCACAGAACAAGCATTTGTGTAGAGACAAAAATCAGATACTCTGAAGAGTATCTAATCTACCTCTGGTGTCAACCATGGTCTCTCTGTGGATGATTCCCCAGGCTTGGTGTCCATCCTAGGCCTCCACATGAGCTCCAGAACCTCAAGGGAAATTCACTCCTAGCTGTTTCTACCAGGACCTCCTCATCCCCAGCAGGCCCCCAATAGCCTCCTCATCACTCTGCCCAGATACTCGCCCATCCCAAGACCACTCATCTTTCTGTGGCCCCTGAAGAGATGAACTGCACCACCATTGTCCCTTGTTCAAGTCCAACACCCTGGGTCCCCTGAGACACTTTCTTCCATCCGTTCCCAGTCTTCATGGCTTGACTTCACATCTGCATCGTATTTCACCTGGCCTGTTGGAACAGCCTCCTCCTAGGTCAGCCCTATTTGTCCCCCACCTTCCCACAAATGAAAGAGCAATTCAGTAGCCACACAATAGCAAGAGCAGTCTGGGCTTGTCCATTTCCTGGTGCTCCCCTGCCTGTAGAGCAAAGACTTCGGGAACTAAATGCATTTCAGGCTTCTCTAGCCTGGCTCCTGCTGAAGCAGTAATTCAGCCCCATTCATTTATCTCTGTTTCTGGCTTATTTCACTCAACATAATGTCTTCCAGATTCATCCACATTGCAAACAAATCAACAAATGGCAGGCTTCCCTTTTTAAAGGCTGAATACTATTCCATTGTTTGTACATATCTTTTGTTAAACTGTTGACTGTCTCCTACAGCTGGACCATGACCTCCATGAGAGCAGGAACTTGTTCCACCTTGTTCTCTGCTGATGCTCAGTACCTAAAACAACTGATACACTGCAGAAACTCACAAGTATTTATTCACTGAAAGAAAAAGCTGAAACGGGGCCAGGGATTTAGCTCAGTGGTTTCACCGCCTGCTGCGCAAGCACAAGGACCTGAGTTCAATCCCTGGTACCAAAAAAAAAAAAAAAAAAGATTCAAAGAAAAAGCTGAAAAAAATAAAAGCGCTGATTGGGAATAAATCATCTTGCATCTTATCAAAACCTGATCTAATAGTTTTTTCAATCAATAGTGCTAGGGAAGTTGGACATCCATATGGGGGGGAAATGATCCCTGAGGGCTACTTAACTTCCATGCACAAATATTAACTCAAAATGGGCCACATATCTAAGCATTTGCACAAACTAAAATACAAAACTTCTAGAAGAAAATAAGAGAACTTCCTCATGGCTTTGGGACAAGCAAAAATCTATCTATCTATATATCTATCTCTCTATGTGATCACACATGACTCACTAATAAGACAAAGCAATTAAAAATGGGCAGAAAATCTGAACCAACATCATACAAATAGCCAAGAAACACATGAAAAGATATTTACCATCATTTGCCATCAGAGAAATGCAAGTTAAAGCCACAATGAGACACTACTGTATACCCATTTGGAATGGTTAAAATATAAAAGACTAAGGATATATGATTTTTACATGGATGACTCTGCTGGGCATTACTGATAGGAATGTAAATGGTATAAGCACTCTGGAAAACATTTGAGCAGTTTTTACGAAGTTAAACATGCACTGACCATATGACTAGTAATTTCATCCCTGGGTATTTACCCAAAAGAAATAGAAACATAATCACACAAAGACTTATATGTGAATGTTCCTTCATAGCAGCTTTACAAAAGGGCCAAAACTTAAAATAACCCAAATTTCGATCAACAAATGAGCGGATGGACAGACTATGGCTTATAATACAATTGAAAATTCCTCAGCAGTAAAAATAAATGAACTCCTGATACACACATCTACACGGATCATTCTCAAAGTCATTATACTGAAAGAAGCCAGATCCAAAAGAGTATACATTGTATGATTCCATTATGTGAAATTCCAGGAGGAATAAAACTAACCTGCAGTGACAGAAAGTAAACCAACGACTCCAGGTCACGGGTGGGAGGGAATGACTAAAAAAAGAAGTTGTGAGGTGATAGAAATATTAACGTTTTGACTGTGGTGGTCACTAGATGGATGTAGAAACTTGTCAGAACTCATGAAATTGTACACTTATTGATACACTTTATGGTATGTCAATTATATCTTAACAAAGGTGATAAAAATTTCAAATAGGCATCCAAAAAAGTGATAGGATGCATAATAATGTAAGATATTTTTTCTTTAATTTTATTGTTGCAATTTAAATATACATAACCATCACATTCATCAAAGGGAATTTGTACCTGTACATAGTATATCTTAATTCCTGTTTTTCTCCCAACTCCCTCCCTTCCCTTCAACCAGTAATGTAAGACATGTAGTAATCAGAGACTCAAAGATCCATACATGAGCTCTGAGCTCACTCCTGGGATGGAGTGAGAGCCCATTAAATAGTTATTTAATCGGAATTAATGTGGATTCACTCCATTTAAGGTGATGAGAGTCCTGCAGAAAGCACACATTACCCTCTCTCCACTGGTCCCCTCACCCTTTACTTTCTCCAGAGGGGAAGCCCCTCGTATCACAGGGCTCTTTCCTCATTCCCTTCGCTGCTCTCCCCAGAATGGTGAGAAGTAGAAAGAAGACAGTTGGTCTCCCCACTTTCCGAGCACTTGGGAAAAATCATGAGACTGTCAATTAGACACAGCATGATCCAAATCCTAGCACTGCCATGTTGCCTAATCTTTGTGCCTTAAATTCCAGAATACAAAAACTAGTTTAAGACTAGTTTAAAAGTGTTACCCTTTGGTTCAGGGAGAGGAGAGCCTACCTGTACCCACAGATTCTCCCACTGTCCTTTCCTATCTCTTCCAAGTTAGGGTTGCTAAATAAAATATTTAACTTCAGATATACAATGAATGATGTATTAGTATAAGTAAATATTGTAGGACACATCCTTATACTGGAGGATCGAATGGGATATACTTGTAACTAAAACATGTATTTGTTATTTATCTGAAATTCAAACTTAGCCAGGTGTCCTGTATTTCTGAATGCAAAATCTGGCAATCCCACTCCAGATAGCCCCCACTTGTTATGCAATCCTTGAAATTTTAGAGTCCAAGAAAACACAATTTGAAACCATCTAGTTTAGAGCAGCACATCCTTTGTGAACTTGAACTGTGAGCTGGTGAATCTTTTCTTTTTTTTGGTACTGGGGATAGAACTCAGGTCTTTGTGTTTGCAGGGTAGGCAGTGGAACCACTGAGCTAAATCCTCGGCCCTGAACTGGTGAATCTTTGAGAGTCATCCATTGGAGTATAGCAGAAATATGGAAGAGGTAGAGTGAAACCAAGCAAAAGCCACCACCATGAGTCTCCCTGTCTCATCCAGCTCTGCAGCTGGATAAAACTCAGCTCACTCCAAAGAGTATGTCCAGTTATACAAATGCTCCTGAGTGGGAGCCAGAGGCAGACACAGCCTTGATCTGGTGAAGAAAAATGCTGGGTCTGGTGGAAAGAGCTCTGGGAATCAGAAAACAGCTTTGGCTAGAGGAATCCTGGGCAATGTTGGGTGGTTATTGTTTTGTTTTGTTTTGTTTTGTTTTGTTTTGAGACAGGGTCTTGCTATGTCATTCAGACTGGCCTTGAACTCACTGTGTAGCCCAGGATGGCCTCAAACTCATGGCGATCCTCCTGCCTCAGCGTCCTGAGTGCTGGGATTACAGGTATGAGTCACCACACCCAATAAGTGTTTAAAATATATCTTTGAGACTCAATTTCTTCAACTCTAAAATGAGCCTCAAAATAACAAAAACACAAGAAAAAAGTCATAAAGTTTACAACCAACAAAACAGTGAGACCCAGAATATATTATGAGCCCTTAATAAGAAAAAGGAAAATAATCAAAAAAGAAAAAAAATGGGCAGGAGATATGCACAGGTAATTTACTTGAAAAAAATGGAGGATAAGCATAGGAAAAGATGAACTTTATTAAAAATCAGGAAAATGCAAATCAAAACAACAATGAGGTAGCATTATTTGACAATCAGATTGGCAGAAATGAAAAAGACAGATAAAATCTAGGGTTGGCAGAGGAAAAGGGAGTTAACCTAGGTCATTGGTGAGAATGTAAATTAGCCTGGCTTTCGGGGAGGATAGCTGGATAATATCAAAATTACAGCCTGCATACTTTTTGACCCAACAATTCCACTCGTCATTTTTATCTGATAGACATTGTCACATAAACCTCCAAACATGCGTGGGCAATGGCACACATGGCAACGTTACTTCTAACAGAGATCACTGGAAGCCACTTCAGTGTCAATCAAAAACTTAATTCAGTAACTCATGGCACAGAAACCTACAGGGCCACCAAGAATGAATACAAATTTACAAAGAGCTTTAAAGACAGACTTGTAAATAAAAAGATCCTGTTTCAGAACACACTTTGTATATAGCCTTATATAAGAAAGCACTATGATATTTGTATACGTAGGTGTGTGTATATGTGGCTGTGTCTATACATCAATCTCTAGCTAAACATACAAACAATGGTATCAATGTGTAGAAAAGGATCTGGAAGCATCTGGAAAGATCCCTACTAAGTCCCATGTCTTCCTCATAACCTTTCCATGTGGGCTGATTAACTGAGTAAACATCATGTTCAATGAAGAAGGCTTTTGCCAATAGATGGAGGCAAGTCTTTGACTCAAGGATGTGTAAATTTGTGAAGGGAGAAAAGAAATATATAAATAAGGGTCCCTTAGAGGAATCTAGGGAAGTGATGAACAGACAAGGCAGAAACAGTGGGGAAATCTAAAGAGAGGGGTAGATTAAAGGGACTTTGGTGGGTGGTAGATTAAATAAATTAAAGTGAACCACTAGACCTGCAGATGTGCTGTGATAAAAGGGGCATCTGTGCAGGAGGAAGAGGGGGATAAGGGATGGCAGGAGGCAGTTCCCTGAGCTGGGAATCCCTGCCCTGCTTCCCTGGTGAGCCTCTCCCTCCAGGGCCAGCTCAGAGCTACTGCCTCCCACGGGGCCACTGTCCCAGTTCCATGCTCCCAGCACCATGGGCTGCTCCCTGGTGGCTCTTTGCACGGTGGAATCTTACATGTGTCCATGGTTTCCTGATTAATGTCTGCCTCCTGCTCTCTCCTCCAAGATCTATGAAAGGAAGGCTTGCATCTGTTTTTGTTTTTTATTATATTTCACAGCCCAACCCAGTACTCAACACATGGTAGGTATTCCATAAATATTCATCAAAAGAATGGAATTTAGTTAGTGGCTCATTAAAATGCTGTCACTCTAGACCCACTTCCCTGAAGTCATTTCCTCTCCTCGAACACTGATGGGCCTAAGAATCTAATCTCATTGGCCTCAACCATAGACCAGCTGGTTTATGGTGCTAAGAAGTATTTCCATGAGCTTCCATCAGCCATGAACACAAGAGGCACCTGGTAAATATGTTTCTCAGTATTGAAGAGAAGAAAAAATAGTTCTTTAAGAGTATAAATTCTCCAAGAGTGGGCCCAGGCTGACTCCCACCAACTTCATATTTTGACCATTCTGTGCTCATTTGGCCTTTCACAGAATGATTGCCGAAAGCTTCATGAATGTATGAGGTCTCAGTCCCACCAGAGTTGGAATCATTCATTGTAAACCCACACCTGCAGGACTATTGCATGGCCACATGGCCACTGTCAGAGGTGGCCACATGGCTGAGTCAGGCAGCGCCTGGTGAATTCAGGACTGTGCTCTATGCATCAGACTAGTCTCTCTGAGCTCTACTCCCTACCAGCTCAAAATCTAGAGACCTAGACGCTACTGCCTGGCCTCCTGCCTGAAGGATCTTGTCTCTGTAACTAGACTTCTGGTCATGACGCAGGGCCTATGCAGAATCTCTAATGCCTGAACAGAGATTTAGGTCTAGTTTGTTTCTTGGGAAATAGAAAAATGGCAGCAGTCTCACAGGGCCCCCACCAGGATCATTCT